CCGAGTAACCTATTAGGTCAAAACCTGAACCTTTAGGGTACCAGAGACCCATGTTAGGAGTTCCTTTAAGATATCTGAAGATGCATTTTACAGCAAATCAGATGGGATTCCTTAAGTTCAGATTGATATCATGCACATAAGCAGGTAGAGTACATGATATCTGGTCGATTAGTTGTTAGATACAGCAGGGAGCCGATCGTTCCTCTATAAACCGTTACGTTTATAGGCTTCCATTTGGATCCTTGTTAAGAGAGAGTGGAGGAGCCATTGGAGTCTTCATAGATGAAGTGTTTGATAAATCAAACTTCTTCAGTATCTCACGAACATACTTACTCTGACTGATAAAGATACATTTATCTGATTGTTTGATCTAGAGACCTAAAAAGAATGTTAGTTCTCCCATCATGCTCATCTGATATTTTTTCTTCATGCGATCTGCGAACCGAAAACGTAAAGAGGGATTAGTAGAACCAAATATAATATCATCGACATAAATTTGGACTAGAATGATATGACCCTTAACTTTCCTAAGAAATAAGGTCTGGTCAATATTTCCACGAACAAATTTCTCAGAGATGAGAAATGAGGAAAGGGTATCATACCAGGCACGAGGAGCCTATTTTAACCCATAAAGAGCCTTATCCAAACGATAAACATGGTTTGGATACTTAGGGTCAAGAAACCCTGGAGGTTGTTCAACATAAACTTCCTCTTGAAGTTTTCCATTTAGGAAAGCGCTTTTTACATCCATTTGGTAGATTTTAAAGTCTCTATGGACAGCAAAGGATAGAAAGAGTTGAATAGCTTCGAGTCTAGCCACTAGTTCGAAGGTTTCGTCATAGTCCATCCCTTTTTCTTGTCTATAACTCTGAGCAACAAGTCGAGCCTTGTTACAGGTTATCACACCTTCCTCATCCATCTTGTTGTGATAGACCCATTTGGTGCCTATCACTGTTTTGTCAGAAGGACGTGGGACAAGGTACCAGACTTTTTTCCTATCAAACTCAATGAGCTCCTCTTGCATGGCAATGACCCAACTCGGGCCTGAGATAGCATCATTGATTTTACTAGGTTTAACTAAAGAAAGAAAGTTGACAAAGAGACTGATATTACTTAGACCACGACGAGTCTTGATACCTGGATCTGGATCACCAAGAATTTGATGAATTGCATGGTCTTTAGTACATCGCTGAGCTGGTAGAGGAATATCATCTGAGTAAGTAAGTTCAGGAACAGAGGATGAGGCTTCAGTTGCATTGTCTTCAGCAATAGGAACTGTTGCTAAAGGAGCCTCAAATTCAGCAACTAAAATAGGTTCAGATGCTGAAGGCATTTCATTCACTGATTGATCAGTGTTTTAAGTATAAGGAGGAATACAGCTAATGAGCACGACAGCGATCTCTGAAGAAGATGTGTTGGAGTGACTAGCTGTAACTGGAATGATAAGTGCATCGCCTTCAGCTTCAGGGGTTTCAGTGTTGAGAGGAGCACTGTAGGAAGCTTCAGATTGTCCATAGTGAGAGAACATCCAGGTTTCTAATTTATCATCATCATTCAAGATGGGTATTGAATTAGCTGATTGAGATTCGTCAAAGGTGACATGGATAGTTTCTTCTATCGTCTGTCTTCGTTTGTTGACTACTCTGGAGGCTTTGGATACTGAAGAATATCCAAGAAAGATTCCTTCATCAAATTTGGGACCGAACTTTCCATGTTGGTCACGATTGTTAAGAATGTAACAAGTACAACCAAAAATGTGTAGAAAGCTTATAGAAAGCTTTCTTCCATGAAAAAGTTCATAAGTTGTCTTCTTCAACCTCTTTACGATCAGCGACCGATTTTGAGTGAAACAATAGGTGTTGACAGCTTCAACCTAGAATTAAGTAGGGAGTTGGGATTCGTTGAGCATTGATCGAGCAGCCTCTATGATTGTTCGAATTCTCCTTTCAACAACCCCATTTTGCTGAGGAGTTCTCACTGAAGAAAAGTTGTGAGAAATTCCCTTGTTCTCAAAGAAGTTATCTATAGTACTGTTTTTGAATTCAGTACCATCGTCACTTCTAATAGATCGTACCTTGATGTTGTTAAGTACTTCTATTTTCTTGATGAATGAAATGATATCTTCAGGTGCTTCATCTTTGGATCTGAGAAAGAAGACCCAAGTGTACCTGGAGTACTCATCAACTATGACGTGTGTAAACTTCTTTCCAGCAATAGATTGCACGTTGACTGGACCAAAAAGATCCATGTGCATTAGCTGAAGAGGCGCAGTCACTAAAGAGATTTGCTTTGACTTAAAGCTAGTTCTTGTGTGTTTTACTTTTTCACATGTTGAGCACAGAGATTCCTTTGCAAAGGAGTGTTGAGGAAGACCAGTGACAACATCATTTCTATACAGCTCACTGAGTGTCTTGAAGTTAAGATGAGAAAGTCGTTTGTGCCATAGCCAGTTGATATCCGACGAGGCTTTAAAGAAAAAAAACAGTTGTTCTCAGTGGTAGTAGAATTCATATTGATAATATATGCATTCTCTAGGCGAGAACCGATCAAGGCAACCTTATCATCTTTGTCAAAGACGCAACATGAATTCTTCGAGAATTTATTGTGTAGTCTTTGTCACACAGTTAACTGATGCTAAGAAGGTTGTGCTTCAGTCCTTTAACGTATGCAATACGCTTGAACGTAGCTGCACCATTGGTTAATATACCAAAACCTCTGGTATATCCTTTTTCGTTTCCTCCAAATGTCACGGAAGCTCCTCTTTTTTCCTTGTAATGAATTAGCATGGATTTGTCTCCAGTCATATGCCTTGAGCATCCACTATCGAGATACCATATGCCTTTGACATCCTGCACAAGGGAACAGTTTAAAAATGCTATTGGTACCCAGCTATTGGGGTCCAGCACTGTTAGAGGCATCATCCACTAGTGCTGAAGAACTAGCGTCAGTTGATGGCATCACTAAACCTGAAGAGGTTTGAGTGGATAGAGGAACAACCTCTGACATAATAAAATAGAGTCAGTGGAAGTCTTCACTGAGCCTGATGAAGTGGCTTCAGTGGTTGGAATTACAACATCTGATGTTGAAGACTTAATAGCAATTGTTGTCTTCACTGAGCCTGAAGAAGCTCCAGTGGTTTGCTTCACTTTGGTTGCTTTTGCAGCATTAGTGGAGGATTTTGCCTTGGTTGATTTATCAACCTTGACTACTTTCTTGCCCTTAGCTAATGGACCAGCCTTGGTGGCAAAAGGACACTTGCTGGCAATATATGTATTTTCACCATAGTGTTTACACTTCCTAAAGCTTAAGGTAGGTTTAGGGCCAGGTAGTAACAGATTAGAAGAGGGACCAGCTCCAAAGATTCCATTTTCATTAGTTCTTGGAGGAACCTTTGAGGCTTTGGAGTCCTTAGGTGAAGCATTCACCTTGAGCTGAGACTTGGATTTCTGAGAGGATTCAGATTTCTTAGTCCCTGAAGAAGAAGGTTTACAAGCTGAAGAAATAGACCTTTATCTATTGGACTTGTTAGACTTCTTAGGAGGAGGTGCTGTGACAATAGATTTACCTTTGTCTTTGCAACCTGAACTCGAAGGAGTTCCATCAAGATGACTCTCAGTAAAAGAAGACTGAGAGGAAGAAGTGTCAGGAATGGAAGAGACAAAGGTACCAACCTTAAACATGGACTTGTCAGTGACATATTCTTCCTGATCATAGGAAAATCATAGACCAGTCGTTATCTTGGCTGAGATCTGAGCATTGATGATCTCAAAGGCTTTGATAGAGGCTTTGCACCATCCTTCTATGGTAGCCTTCTCAGCCTTGAGCTCAGCGATTACTCGCTCACGCTCAGCGATAGCCTTTTCGTGTTCAACAGTGATGGCTTGGTTTACAATGACCTGATCTTTTAGGTTTTCTTCAACCTTGGTTAGCTCCTTGATCTTAGAATGGCAAATCTTCAACTGCTCTTGAAGATCAAGATTAAGCATTTATGCTTTTGATTTGCCATTGAAAGCATTGTAAAGATCTACTGTTAACGTGTCTAGTGCGGATAGGCTAGAAGAAGAGGAAGAGGGTTCATTCAGGATACATACCTGAGCAGGAGAAGAGTTTGATGGTTCAATTGAAGTAGATGTCTCTGAAGCTTCTTCTTTGACATCCTTAGCCATCAAGCAAAGATAGGCTGTATCTTCCTCATCAGATGATGATTCATCAGACGAATCAACCCAATCATGCTCTTCAGCGATGAGACCTTTGGACTTTCGCTGGTGATTCTTCTTCTTCTTATATTTCTCCTTCAGCTTCAGGTATTTGTCATCCCTGGATCTGAAGGAGGATGGGGATTTAGAAGATGGCGTCGCAGTGTTTTTTGATCTGCATTCACCTACAAAATGTCCGGTGCGGTGACAATTGTAGCAGATTGCTAAAGCCTTGTCTATCTTGTCAGACTTTGGTTTTTCCTTAATGGTCAGCGAAGGAGATCTGCGGAAGTTGCTCTTGTTGGAGAATCTCCTAAAAGATTTAGTTAAAAGCACCAGGGATTCATCAAAATCTGCAAGATTAGATTCTACTATATCCTCAGATTTAGTAGAGTCTAACTCTATAATTACAACAGCCAGAAGAAGAAGAGGAAGAGGAAGAGGAAGAGGAGGAGGAGGAGGAGGAGGAGGAGGAGGAAGAGGAGGAGGAAGAGGAGGAAGAAGAGGAAGAAGAGAAAGAAGAGGAAGAGGAAGAGGAAGAGGTAGAGGAAGAAGAGGAAGAAGAGGAGACGTTAAAAATGATGAAGAAGAATAGGAAGAAGAGGAAGAAGAGGAAGAAGCGAAGGAGGAGGAGGAGGAGGAGGAGGAAGAAGAAGAGGAAGAGGAAGAGGAGGACGAAGAGGAGGAAGAAGAGTAAGAAGAGTAGACGTTAAAAATGATGAAGAAGAAGATGAAGAAGCGAAGGAGGAGGAGGAGGAGGAGGAGGAGGAGGAGGAGGAGGAGGAGGAAGAGGAGGAAAAGGAGGAAGAGGAGGAAGAGGAGGAAGCGGCGGAAGCGGCGGAAGAGGAGGAAGCGGCGGAAGCGGCGGAAGAGGATGAAGCGGCGGAAGAGGAGGAAGAGGCGGAAGAGGAGGAAGCGGCGGAAGCGAAGGAAGAGGAGAAAGAGGAGGAAGCGGCGGAAGAGGTGGAAGAGGAGGAAGCGACGGAAGCGGAGGAAGCGGAGGAAAAGGAGGAAGCGGCAGAAGCGGAGGAAGCGGAGGAAGCGGCGGAAGCGGAGGAAGCGGAGGAAAAGGAGGAAGCGGAGGAAGAGGCGGAAGCGGCGGAAGCGGCGGAAGAGGAGGAAGCGGAGGAAGAGGAGGAAGCGGCGGAAGCGACGGAAGAGGAGGAAGCGGAGGAAGAGGCGGAAGCAGACAAAGCGGCGGAAGCGGCGGAATAGGAGGAAGAGGAGGAAGAGGCGGAAGCGGCGGAAGAGGCGGAAGCGGAGGAAGAGGCGGAAGCGGAGGAAGAGGCAGAAGCAGAGGAAGCGGAAGAGGCGGAAGCAGCGAAAGAGGAGGAAGAGGCGGAAGCGGAGGAAGCGGAGGAAGCGACGGAAGCGGCGGAAGATGAGGAAGCGGCGGAAGATGAGGAAGCGGAGGAAGCGGAGGAAGCGGCGGAAGAGGAGGAAGCGGCGGAAGCGGAAGAAGGGGCGGAAGGAGGAGAAGGGGGAGAAGGGGGAGAAGGAGGAGAAGGAGGAGAAGGAGGAGAAGGAGAAGAAGGAGAAGAAGAAGAAGAAGAAGAAGAAGAAGAAGAAGAAGGAGAAG